TTTTTAGAAATAGCCTTTGTGCTCAGCCAGCCTTGTAGTCTTCTAGGTTCAAAAAACTGTCATCCATAAAATGCGTTGAACAAATTCGAACATCTGGGTTGTGCTGTTTTGTTGTAAATAAATCTTAACCAATGATTCCTAATTGCATCTACTTCCGGAAGGCCAAATAAAGTGCTTTTGCTTTCGCACTGAAACACACAGCGTCTCACTGACATGGCTGCATCAACATTACTGCTGTTCCTGAAACCACGCCTTCTTTCTTTGTGTGTACATTTGGGCGGCATTATGCTAATATTTCCGTGTTAGAATGAGTCGTTTTAGGTAGGCGTAGTTGACTCTTAACTTTAATAAAGAATATCGCTTTGGATTTGAGACTTTAGTCTTTGCAACTTTACAGATCTTCTTTATGCACCAAGAGCTTGTAACACTCCAAAGAGAAAGGAAAACTTGAAATCGCATCATATGACCCCTTTAAAATAAACATTTGCATTTGAATGCAAAAATAGTACAATCAAATGTTAGGTGTGCGTCAGGGAGCGTCATCAGTGGAGCACGAGATGCGGTGATGATGATGTAAGTGACGTTTTTGCATGCCGCTGCTGCGTTATTCATTCAAAATATTAGAGAAATGTATTAGCTCAATGCGTAGAAGATCTTGATTAGGTTAAAACCGAAACAAAGCCATTCACACAGAACGCATATTCAGCGCATTTTCTAGACGGACAAATATAACTGCTGCACTCGCGTCACACAAGAGATGTATAAAAAGCCATGCAAAGTTAAAACAGTTTAAACTTTTAGAAAACACGTTACGAATTAGTGGAGGTTTATTCATTTTCACTGTGTCATATGTTTTTAAAGGCAATCTGCGTGATGGGCAATTCGGCTCTTTGTATTAAGCAATGCATAAATATGTGATGCCGTTTTGTTCATAATTGTTTATGCAATTTACGAAATTATATTTGATTTATATGAGTTAATTTAGACGTAATGCACGTTTTTTTATATACAGTTATTTCCTTGCAATGACAATTTAATGTGCTGCATTATTTTGCTCATTGCGCCCTACTGTGGCCTCAGGAAACAAGACAAAAGTTTAACCTATTTAATCTGCATCTGAATCATTAGAAATGGGATATTTGTTTAATTTTTATTTTGTGTTTGACTGTTAAAACCCCCCAAAAATTGTTGTTTGTCTCAATAAATTGAGTTACTTTAAAAATACAGTGGTTAAATGTAAAAAAAAAATTATATTGCTCTTTGTTTTAAAAAAGGTTATAAAAGATTTCAATAGTTATCGATACCGAACGATATGAAACATTAAATCGTTGATACATTTTATTAGCTATATCGCCCAGTCCTACCAATCACATTGCTTGACAGTCCTCATTAACACTTGCAGCGCAACGGATCGTCTTCGTGAGAATCTCACTTCTTATTTTACCGCCAGTTGGATGCACTGAAAACATCTGATGAACAAGATGCAGTAAAATCATCAAGTCTTCATAATTTATGTTGCTCTGAAATGCTTTCCATTGGAAACATTGAAAACGTGGAGGAAAAACATGAGGTTTGAAGGCGGGACTGGACTGTGAGGTTGTTTCAAGGTCATGCAGATATTTTTTTTTAGTTTACAACGCGTGGAGTGATACGCCATAGCCTGTCAAATCAGCAGTATATTTAGAAACATAATGAAGACAACATGAAGAAAAGACTTGACATTTTGACACTAACACGGAGGCTTTATTTCTTTGTTCCCAAGGACAAGTATTGCAGCTCGGCTTATCTGCATGTTGATAAATTTGTTGTAAAATAGAGTTGTTATTTATGTCATTCTGTCTACTCTTTGAATCAGGAGTCTTATTGATGCATGTCTGTTGTATGAATTGCACAGGGTCTGTTTAATCCCTTTCCTTGGATATGCTGTAAAAGATGAGTTTGGCTACAGGTGTAGTATCTCAGTCTTCCACAGGGGTCATATTTAAGGTTGTTGTTAGAGATTTGAGCATTTGGATGTCAAGATAATTCATCTACAAGATATTATGTTCTTGTTTCCCTTTAATTCAGCCTGAAGGTTTAATTTGGTTTAATTTGCTCGTCCACCAATTCGGTCATGGAAGTCATACTTGTACAATGTGTTATGATGAGGCTCAGTTTGAACTGGCAATTTGAACTATTAGTAAAAGGAGAGACTGTAAAACTAGCTTATTTCCTAGCCTTCCTTGATGCCTTCATTTGAACATCCTTCTTTCTGAGCTTGTTTCTTATTGTCCAAGCATCCTTTGTTTCTTCTAAGCATTCTTTCTTCTGAGCATCGTTCCTTTTGAGCTTCCTTCTAAACTTCCTCACCTTCCTTCCTTTCAAGCTTCCTTTCGTATTTTCTTCCTATACCTTCTTTTTTCCTAAGGGTCTTTTCTGCCAAATAGTATTATTAAGTCAGATCATGGTCCAGAACCAATGGTCAAATGTTACAAATTAAAAATGTGATCAACATTTGTGATGACTAAGCTAAACCCTGCATTGCTTTAACATTACTAAGAGCATAACACGTGTGGAGGTCTAGATTGGCTACAACCAGCAGCCATGTGATTTTCAAACGAAGCACATGGAATAACATTATGACTATTTCATGATGACGGAGCTAAACCTTGTATTGCTTCAACATTAGTGATGTCATGCAACGTTTAATTATTCGGAACTGAATCTTCTCTAAAAATTATATCTGCTTTCATGCTCAAGGCAATGTAAAATTTGTGTGGCTTCAGTAATGTTGATGGTGGCTGCCCTCCAAATTAGAATGTTAATGTTTTAAAGAATGAAATAAAAAGACAGTTTAGTGTTTAAGATGATATTAGTGATGGCACCACCCTTACAAGCCTAATACTGTAGCTTATAAGACCAGCTTGTTTGTGTGGAGACTTTTTTGTAAAAAAAACTAATCAAACAGGAATAAGCTGTTGAGCTCAAATGTCCGAAGATGTCCTCTTAGGTAATGTTTGTTGTCTGGGTGAAACAGATTTTGGATACAAATTTAGACCCATCCGTACTGTACAACTGTTTTTTATTCTGAAGTTCATCTGTCTGTTTGTGGTAGGTTTTGCAGCAGATGCAGCAGAAGTGACTCTCAGATGGTTTTAGTTCACTCGGTTTGTCCAACGTCCTGTTGGCCCTTTTTCTTTCTCTCTGTCTGTCTCTCTCTCTCTCTCTCTCTCTCTCTCTCTCTCTCTCTCTCTCTCAGAACAGTTAGGCCGTCACATCTGTCCTGGCTTAGGTTTGGCCCGCTCCAGATGCACAAGTTGTTGGACTCATGTGGAAATTGGGCGGAAGTGTTTACCTTTCCAGAGAGACTTTTTTCCGTCATACTGACAACTCTTGAGGGTATGAGAGAACTGTACATGTTGCTGAGAGACCGACTTCTTTCACAACACCGTTTATTGAACTGTGCAAAAAAAACTATTTATTCTTCCAAAATTGTTTGGGACCTGCATAACGAATCGTGAAGAAGTGTCCAGATTTCATCAAGCTTATTAGTCGAGCTTAAGCGATTTTCATACTGTTTTCAGGGGAATTCATGGTTTTGAATGTCTTTATCGTTTGTAGCTAGTCGATAATCGTATGCACTGAAGACGACACTGGAGCGGCAATAATGAAAAATGGAGATTGGTAGGAACGGCGTGTTTGCACAGTTTGTTATTATGCTTCAACAAGGTCCCAAACGAAATGTTTTTTGCATTAAGCTGATGTTGTTTTGTTCCTCGTTGTCTTTGCGCCAGTTCCTCAATGTGTTTGCTGTCCTACTCTGCTGCTGAAAGCATTACTACATAAGAGAAAGATTTATTCTGGGTCCTGTTTTTTCCCTGTTTGCTTTTAGTCTCATCAACCCAAGCTGACAGTGCTCCGACAAATTTTAAACCCTTTGTTTGGCAGCTCGCCTGTATAGAGATAGCAGATTTGAAGTTTGGCTGTTTTCGAGAAAAACCCGGCTGGGCACAAGGGTAGGTTAGCTCATGGAGACCCTTGAGAAAAGGGCACGATCCATTTCAGTTTCAAATGCCTTTCAATGTGAATTCAGTCCAGCCATGAGCGAGAAGGCAAACAGCTGGCTTGATTATTTCCTCTGTTTCCTCTGAGAGTTTGATTTACTCGCTAATGACAAACAGAAAACAGATAACTAATGTCTCAAACGAGCCCTTTCATTTCTGTCAAAGTCAGCAGACCTCATTCGAACACACTGTTCCATGACATATCATGACTACTTTAGCTCTGGATTTCACCTTTTTCTGGCCAAGATTGGTGACACATGAGCCTCGTAACAATTCGGCAAGACCTGTAGCAACTTTTGGATGACTTCAAGAGCCAAAGAATGCGTCTCCAATGTAACGCGTGTTTTGATTTAGCTTTACTTTATTTGATTGTTTTGGAACCACGTTCCCATGCTCTCCCGATCGGCGGTGGAGTGGAGAGTCGTCTTGAGAACAGTTGCGAGGCTGGAAGTCATTTTTTGAAGTCGGGTTTTCATTGCTATGCGATCACAGGCGTTCTCCCAGCATCATAAAACTCTCATTGTGTTAAGTCACACAGCTGAGCATACAAACAAAGCTCACAGTTTTAAAATTCCTGTTGTTGAAGCCGTGTTTGCTTTGACAAGTATTATTCAACGGATAGATGCCCAAAACGTACTCTTTAATGCGTAAAAAGTTCATTTCCTTCTTTTATGAGGCCTGACGGATGGTTTCAAAATGTCATATGGATGCTCAGTGAGCGGTGCACTTTATTTTGATTGTTTTCATGATTGTCTGCATGAGAAAGTGTCCAAGTTTTAAGTCGGTGCCTCTTGTGTGTGCCTTTGCAGTTTTCTGGTTCAGATAAATGATGGAATGAGAAATGGGAAAATGTAAAAAGACGTCCCTCGGCTGTGAATTACTCTTGTTCCCAGTAACTTCAGATGTTTGTGTGTGCATATCTCTGTACTTGTACTTGTGCATGTGTTTGTGTTTAAGACCTGCTGGGCCATCCTTCAGTTGTTCTCGTGCTATTCTTTGTTTACCAGAGTAAATGGGTCAGTGACACACAAGTGTTGATGGTAAAGAAAATGGTTTAATGTAGTTTTGAAAAACTTTCATACAATTTTTCAACCTAAATGTAATGCCTGTCGTTTGGTGTAGCCATCAAGCAAAAAATAATAACATATTTTCCTTACACCTTTAACACAAGTGAGTGTACACAATCATTATTTTCCAAAGGTAAAAGATAAAAACTAATTTTTTAAAATAGCATTTATTCACAAATATCATTAGGTTTTTGTGGAGCCGCACCACATGACATTTTACTAACTTAACCTTGTCATAACGAAATTATCTGTTATTTTAAGAGACTTATTGACAAAGTTATGAGGGTCTGCAGGGGGGTCCTCTCTATGATATAATTTCCTGTTTTTTTTTTTTTGTTTGTTTGGTTCAGTTTTGGTTTATTTTTGTTTAGTTTTAGTTTAGTCCTTTTTTTTTTTTGCTTTGATTGGTTTTGGTTTGCTTTGGTTTGTTTTTGTTTGTTTTGTATATATATATTTTTTTCCCCTTTGATTTTGTTTGATTTGGTCTGGTCTAGTTTTGTTTGGTTTGTTTTGTTTTTTTGGTTCATTTTTGTTTTTATGCATGTTAATCACACCACATGACTTTTCAAGATATTTGTAGATTTTTATAGATTTTTTCTTTTTCCTTTTTTTTTTATTTTTTAAAGAGGCTTTTTTCTTCATTATTATAGTAGGATGCCCATCTTAAAATTTTCAAAACATGCTCATCATAGAGCTGTATTCAAGTCATCGTATTTATGCCCATTTAAACCAACCCAACATCGTACACTAATTATTGTACCCCATGATTTGACTGGCAGCATAATTTTCCATTCGAAAAAAGTCGTGATGAAATTGGCATCTTTTCTGCATGCCGTTGGAGACATGGTGGGCATTACATGGGTTCTGTATGGCCTCTAAGCATGCCACTGACTCATGACTTCAAAGTCATCGTCTGCACTTGAATCTGGGGTGGGGGCAGAGGCGAACTGGATCTGAAATTGGGGTTATTGTGGGATTTTTGTTTAGTGCAGCAGATTTTCTTTTTCCTGATTGGGAGTGCATGGCAGTTTTGTTCCCACTCGAGGAGACTCGGATTTAATTGTTTATGCCCACACTGGTGCGGAGAGGTGTCACCACATGGAGTCGCCGAAGAGCTATAATGATTAACGATTAGTGTTTAGTCTGAAGTTCACATTTCATTTAAATTCTATCCCACATGGCCATTTTTGAATGAACGCCATGCATGTGGAAATGGTCAACTGCTGCAGTCGAGAAATTACTGACTCACAATTCAGTTTGAAGACTAGCGTCAGTAATTGAAGAGAAGCCGGTGGATCCAAAATCATTGTGACCACATCAGAGCGCCTTTAGTGGTCAGAAGATGTGTAATCAGTGATGAGTTCGGGCTTGCTTTGTGGCAATCGAGCACGATGTGCGAGAGTATGCGATCATGCAAGTGATTTTGGTTTTATGTGCCTGTTTTGCGATGAGTTGGCATGGGATGGAGATGTGTTTGTGAGAGCTCAGCTGGAGACTAGGCCTTCCACGGGACTGTTATGATGAGTACTTGGATGTGTCATACGTGCACAATCAGTTTCACGTGCGTAAGGAAATGCAGTAAATCCTTGACTTGATTTGAATTCGGTTTGCAACACCACTTGAAATTTCAGACTTGGCAATCAAGCAAGTGCATTCAAGCTGTCAGTTTTGCATTATATCGCATAGTTTTGCACCTTTTAATCCTGAAACAGCAAGTTGACAGTTGCTTAATGGCTTGCAAGAAACAAAATGCATTCTGACAATCCTGATTGGCCTGTTACTATGAGAATAGAAAACATTTCCTCCCTTGGGCTACGTCTGAATTGCTGAACTATCATAGTGTGTTGAGTTCGATGAAGAACCTACTTCTTGACTTCTTGATTTTTTTCCCTTAATTAATCATATGGCTTCAGCTCCAGTTGCTTTATGGGATAGCAAAGTGTCCCAAAGTTGCGCACTTCAGAATCTCAGCAGATGTTGAACGTCATCCAGATGTTGTTCGCCTACTGTAGATTGTAAATCTACTATTGTAAATACTTAGTACTGGACTTTCTACTCATTTGACAATGTTTGCTTACTGTATGCAATGTTGGATTTTGAACTTCCTGATAATGTGAAAACAAACAAGACGAGCTGAAAAAACAGGTGCACATTACTGGGGTCTGTGACAGGCAGTTGCATAAGCTATAGAATGAGTGGAAACATTAGCAGATTCAATTGTAAACTGTGAGAATTTTAATTTTGTTTAAACAGTGAGGTGATGGATATGCTAATGAAAGTTAGAAAGGAACAATCAGTATGGATTGAAAGGAAGAAAGCTGTAATAGTTTTCATGCCCATGGATGTGAATAATTTGCATATTAAAATCAAATTATCATCAGAATCTCTTGAGGAAAAATTTGATCCTAGCAGCAGTGTTGTAGAATACTTAGTAGAAAACTAGAAAACACAAAAAGATTATTGCGTTTTTGTGTTGGTTTTCTTCTACAATCAAAAAGTTCTGTGAAATGTTTCAAAATTGTGTAGCTATTAATATAACTAGATTTGAAAAACAGATCTGAGATCTGAAGTGTAATTTTCTGGCCTAGAAATTAGTAAGCAACTAACCAACTTACTAAATAGAATTAATAAACGTAATGGATATTTCTAAATGAACTAGAGTTTTTTTTCTTGTTTATTGTAAAGTTATGTGTGATGTATGTGTGATCGTTGTGTTGTGCCAGATAAATGCAAACACTTTCATGTCTTTGCCTACTTTTTTGTTGGTAGCTTGTATTGAAACTGATTGCAGGGATATAACTAAAGACAGGACAAACTGACAAAAACATAAAAACAACTGCAGAGCACGCCACGGAGGCAGCCATCAGCGTCAGCGCCATTGTGCATCATTAGCTATTAGCAAACTAGAGTTTTGTTTTCTCCAGTTATAACTAACTTGTAGTTTGGATGTGAACAGTTTTAAAAACACTGTCCAGCCAAAAAAGTCTTCATTTTTGTTGAAGGATTTCAAAATCCATCCATATTTATAACATAAATCTGGACAGAATATTCATAATTAGTGTTATTTTAGTATTATCTATTATCATTATATATTATTATAATATTTATGAATATTACATATTTATGAATTAACTTTTATTTTAATACTTCTAACTTTTTTATTTCTTTACAGCTTGCTTGCTGTATTTATTTGATTTTATTTTTAAGTTTTAGTAATTTTAGTACTTCAACTTACTCATTTCAGTTAGTTGGCAAGGCGACATTTCTAATTTCTTTTTTTTTTTAGTTTACGTATCTCATCTAATGCTTCATTTCATCTTTTTTTCTATTACCGAAAATGATTTTGAACAGTTTTAATTTGAGTTTTAGTTAACAATAGCGACACTGATGCACATCTCTCAAGATAAAAGAAAATCAGTTCAAAAGTAACCGCATGCCCAGAAAGCTTGGTGGCATGACATTTAAACTCTATTTAGCCGATTGTGATTTGGAATCTGGTTGTTTTGATTCTTCATATGAAGAATATTTGTGCTGGTAATTTAGAGAGCAGCTTGCAGTGCATTTTAGTGTCTGACTAATTTGTCAGTCACACCGCTCACATGTAAGACAGCATTAGTCACCGAAATTAGTCACATCGTCGCTTAGGAATGATTCTTACTAAAACTATGTAGCCATGTTGGGAAATTTAGCAGTTGTGTTGTGTCTAGAGCGCTTTCCCACAGATAAACAAGCATTCGGAATAGTTGGACCTAGTTGTTTCCCAAAATGTTAACATAGTGCTAATATTTCAAATTTTTCTGCCTATTTCCTAGGTTCTAAGAGGACCACAGCTCATCGCAGTGGCGTCGACCGACGGGACGGGCGGGGTTGACGCATCTCCTCTCCAGGGTAACGATATTCAGGTGCAATACGTCCAGCTGGGAACGGTGACCGACCACACCGGCGCAGTACAAGTGAGATAAGCCAAAAACACACTCACAAACACAGCGTCAATAGTCACATCGTCGCTTAGGAATGATTCTTACTAAAACTATGTAGCCATGTTGGGAAATTTAGCAGTTGTGTTGTGTCTAGAGCGCTTTCCCACAGATAAACAAGCATTCGGAATAGTTGGACCTAGTTGTTTCCCAAAATGTTAACATAGTGCTAATATTTCTAATTTTTCTGCCTATTTCCTAGGTTCTAAGAGGACCACAGCTCATCGCAGTGGCGTCGACCGACGGGACGGGCGGGGTTGACGCATCTCCTCTCCAGGGTAATGATATTCAGGTGCAATACGTCCAGCTGGGAACGGTGACCGACCACACCGGCGCAGTACAAGTGAGATAAGCCAAAAACACACTCACAAACACAGCGTCAACATTATCTGTGATGTACAGCCGTTTTATTTCAGGGAGGAATGTTTTCTGTCTCAAAATGACCACCACTGTCGCACAGGTGTGCGATGAATGCACCAATCTGGTCTGTGGTGAGCAGCAATTCTGCGCCATCGCCGCTGGGTGGCGTAGTGACCAATATATGCGATCAAACTCGCTCTCTCACCATGTGTTCTTTCTAGAAATCATAGGCAGCGATCTTAACATGCTCTCCGCTCTCACTTTTGGCTAATCAGCAACCCAGATCACATTGTTTTTCCGAATAATAAATTGCCTTTAGTTGTGCTTTTCCTCCCTGTCTATTTTCTCATTTTTATCCCTCTTTTCCATCTCATGCTCTACATCAAGTTCTCAACATGCTCAAACGCTCCTTGATGTGTGTTTTCACTCTAATCACTTCCCCATGATGCCGTTACGGCGTTTCGGAGCCGCGATATGGCATGCACGCATATTCAAACACATTTAGAGGTTTGACAGTCATTACAGGTCACCACATTTCCCCATCTGCACTCGCGTGTTTGATTCATGTGAGGCTTCAAGCTAGGGTTGAGGAGCACAGGCACAATTTGACTTGCATATTTCACATCTGCTTTTACGTTTCTGTCTTTAGAGAAGAAGAAACTTCTTTTAATCTGAAGCAAAGAGCAATCAGGGTTAAATCTCGTGAGCAAAATTAGTGGGTCAAACTTTGGTTGGCAAAGATTTTGTGGCAAGACATAAAAACTATGACAATAAAATGATTTAAATTAAAGGAATAATAGATCACCCAAAAATAAAAGTTAGTTGTAGATGAGTTTATTTCTTCATCAGAACAGATTTGGAGAAATGTAGCATTCCATCAGTTGCTCACCAGTGGATGCTCTGCAGTGAATGGGTGCCGTCAGAATGAGAGTCCAAACAGCTGATAAAAACATCACAATAATCCACAAGTAATTCACACCACTCCAGTCCAACAATTAACATCTTATGAAGCCAAAAGCTGCGTGTTTGCAAAAAACAAATCCATCATTAAGACATTTTTAGCTTCAATCCGTTGCTTCTGGTTAAAAAACAAGTCCATAATTCATAATATTGCTTTCTCGAGTGAAAAAGCCGTCTCATCTGAATCATGTGTGTTTTCACTCTAATCACTTCCCCATGATGCCGTTACGGCGTTTCGGAGCCGCGATATGGCATGCACGCATATTCAAACACATTTAGAGGTTTGACAGTCATTACAGGTCACCACATTTCCCCATCTGCACTCGCGTGTTTGATTCATGTGAGGCTTCAAGCTAGGGTTGAGGAGCACAGGCACAATTTGACTTGCATATTTCACATCTGCTTTTACGTTTCTGTCTTTAGAGAAGAAGAAACTTCTTTTAATCTGAAGCAAAGAGCAATCAGGGTTAAATCTCGTGAGCAAAATTAGTGGGTCAAACTTTGGTTGGCAAAGATTTTGTGGCAAGACATAAAAACTATGACAATAAAATGATTTAAATTAAAGGAATAATAGATCACCCAAAAATAAAAGTTAGTTGTAGATGAGTTTATTTCTTCATCAGAACAGATTTGGAGAAATGTAGCATTCCATCAGTTGCTCACCAGTGGATGCTCTGCAGTGAATGGGTGCCGTCAGAATGAGAGTCCAAACAGCTGATAAAAACATCACAATAATCCACAAGTAATTCACACCACTCCAGTCCAACAATTAACATCTTATGAAGCCAAAAGCTGCGTGTTTGCAAAAAACAAATCCATCATTAAGACATTTTTAGCTTCAAACCGTTGCTTCTGGTTAAAAAACAAGTCCATAATTCATAATATTGCTTTCTCGAGTGAAAAAGACGTCTCATCTGAATCAGGAGAGAAATATGCACAGATCAAGCACCGTTTACAGGGGAAAACAGTTCAAAACAGATCTAAACAAATATGTTGGTAGATTTTGATGTGAGACGACAATAGTGGATGGACTTTTTCACTGAGGAAGGGTTATTATGGATTATTGACTCTTAACGATGGATTTGTTTCTTCCAAACATGCAGCTTTTCACTTCACCAAGACATTAACTGATGGACTGGAGTGGTGTGGATTACTTGTGGATTATTGTGATGTTTTTATCAGCTGTTTGGACTCTCATTCTGACGGCACCCATCCATTGCAGAGGATCCACTGGTGAGCAAGTGATGGAAAGCTACATTTCTCCAAATCTGTTTCAGTGAAGAAACAAACTCAACTAATATTCATTTATGGGTGAACTATTCCTTTAGTGTATACGGTTGGTATTTAATGTATATCATTAACACTGCAAGATTTAAAAAAAATACACTGCTTATACATTTTTAGGAAAGAACGAATCAGTCATGCATTTTATAAATGTTTCAAAATGTTAGAAACAAGGTTGCCAGGTCATGCAAAACCTGGAAATTAGAGGGAAAAAAAGTCATGGATAAGTAATGCATTTCTTTAATGACCATGTATTATTATTATTATTATTATTTAGTTTAGCCCTTAAATATTTAATTGGATAGAAAAATTTGTAAAATAATAAAAAATCATGACATTTCTATAATGAGCAATTTAGTTTATCAAAAATAGTTGGAATAAAATAATGGAGAATGACTGGAAAAATCATAAAAAGTCATTAATCCAAAGGAGTAGGAACCCTGTGGAAATTATATTTTAAGTACAGACTGGTGCTGTTTGACACACGTTTTTTTTGTCATTTTTGCACATTATCATTGAATAAAATTGAGCGAAATGGACTATAACAAATGAATATATTGACACAATTAAAATATTTTCACTAAAAGTCAAATTGCTGAAGCAAAAAAACTGTGAGAACATCAAGCATTTCAAAGCCCTTTGTTGTGACCATCCCTCTTACAATTTAAAAGAAACACTCATGGCACTAGCACGCACCCCCAATATGGCTTTTGTGAGCACGGGAATGTGAGCTATTTGGTAACAGGGAGGAGGACGAGGCCTTTACCACAGTTGCCCTTTAAAGTGGTTAGGCTGGTACAACTAAAACCTCTTTAGACCTTTTGGGCGCTTATGGTTTAAATAGTCTTAAAGGGCATTTCCTCCTTAAAATCTGTACTTTTTTTCAATTTGCTTTATTAATACACTGTCCTGGTCTCATTGTGTTCGATTCATCATCGCACGTTATTTCAAAAGAAAAAAAAAAGTCATCTTATATAAAAAAAAATTACAACTTGCTCCAGCTCTGAAACGAATTTCCTATGAAGACCTCTTATTTTTCAGCCCCTCCCCCTTCTCTATACTCTGCTGTAAACAAAGAAATGTTCCCCTTCCTCTCTTTGGAGTACACTCTTTCATCGGATGTGCTGTACCAGAGCCAAATTTGTTGTACGGCTTGTTATCTGAGTGACCTGCATCTTTCTTTTCCTCTTTCTCTCTCTCACGGATACACACTCTTGCGTTTTGGCCGACCTTCAAATATGTTGCGTCTCATCTTCATCTTAAGCAGGCTGTACCAAACTCCGGAAGGCAGTTTGTGGGAACGGCTTGATGATTGCATCCGTACCTAGACCCCATCAGAGGGTCTTAGATTTACCTCTAGCCTCACTTGTTGCTTTACTTGGTGGTCTGGAATCCTTCCAAAATTGGCTCTGCAAATATACTGTACACATCAAAGCTGTTGGAATGCTGTTAATGGACTATTATGCTTGAATAGAGCGCCGCATGCGCAACATTTGACGCAGTCAAGCGAGTAAATCTCTGCAAATCGATTATAGATTACTGCCGTTTTGTGACAAACCACCTGTCACGGGGATAAAATAAACAGCTGTCAGAGGAAATTAATATGAATTATGGCATGAGCTCACTTAGTAGTGGAGCTGTGCTAAAGTTGGCGAACAGAAAAACTACCTGCTGTTTTTGGAAGACGATTTGGTGGAAAATGTATTTACATGGAAATCAATTCTTGCATGTTTTATATCTTGCTCTGTTTTTTTTTTTAATTGTAAAATTTAAAATAACATTTTCTCTTAAATGTAAAACTATATCGCAACCTGGATACAGACATTGCGCATTTCATATATTTATGTTTTCATAAAAAGTTTAGGTTGAGTGTCTACATACATAAATTTGATTCAGTTTAAATACATCCTACCCAGTCTCAACTAGTTGCAGCTGTGACTTAATTTTTCATTCATTTCTTTTATCATAGCCACACACATAGTGAGATCCTATTGGTCCAAATTCCTGTTCTGAAGAGCTGTGTATTAAAGATCAAATATAATCTGATTGGCTGTGATTGTTGTGTAGTGCACTGTTTTTCATTTAAATCTTGGACACTTGTCATATTTAGTCGGAGAGCATGTGAAAAAAAGAACAGCAATGAATAAGAAATAGTTAAATTATATAGAATTATAGCTAGAAATGAACCTTGGTGAAATAAAACAAATACAATTATTACAAATAAATACCAAATAAGTGGATTTTAAGTAGATATTGGGGACAAAAATAAAATATAATGCTAACAAAAAAATTATTTAATAAAAACTTTGGAACATTAGTGGATATAAAGTAAAATAAAATAAATAAATAAATAAAAGGGGATATCAGGGGCAAAAATGAAATCTAATGATTATAAAAAAAAATATCAAGAAAGTTAGTGGATGTTAGAAAAATTCAAGTAAATTAAAATAAATTAATAAATTATAAGTGAATATGGACATCATGGACAAAAATGTTATATAATGATCAAAAACTAAACATTAAAATAAACAAACATAAAAATAAAATAAATCAAGTATAAATAAATAAGTAAATAAATAAATGCATATTAAGTGGACATCAGAGAAAAAAAAAAAATCATACCAAAATAAATAAATAAAAAAACAACAAAAAAATTAAAAACTTAACAATAGTGGACCTTAGGTAAAAAAAATTTTGTATTTACATGGAAATCAATTCTTGCATGTTTTATATCTTGCTCTGTTTTTTTTTTTAATTGTAAAATTTAAAATAACGTTTTCTCTTAAATGTAAAACTATATCGCAACCTGGATACAGACATTACGCATTTCATATATTTATGTTTTCATAAAAAGTTTAGGTTGAGTGTCTACATACATAAATTTGATTCAGTTTAAATACATCCTACCCAGTCTCAACTAGTTGCAGCTGTGACTTGATTTTTCATTCATTTCTTTTATCATAGCCACACACATAGTGAGATCCTATTGGTCCAAATTCCTGTTCTGAAGAGCTGTGTATTAAAGATCAAATATAATCTGATTGGCTGTGATTGTTGTGTAGTGCACTGTTTTTCATTTAAATCTTGGACACTTGTCATATTTAGTCGGAGAGCATGTGAAAAAAAGAACAGCAATGAATAAGAAATAGTTAAATTATATAGAATTATAGCTAGAAATGAACCTTGGTGAAATAAAACAAATACAATTATTACAAATAAATACCAAATAAGTGGATTTTAAGTAGATATTGGGGACAAAAATAAAATATAATGCTAACAAAAAAATAATTTAATAAAAACTTTGGAACATTAGTGGATATAAAGTAAAATAAAATAAATAAATAAATAAAAGGGGATATCAGGGGCAAAAATGAAATCTAATGATTATAAAAAAAAATATCAAGAAAGTTAGTGGATGTTAGAAAAATTCAAGTAAATTAAAATAAATTAATAAATTATAAGTGAATATGGACATCATGGACAAAAATGTTATATAATGATCAAAAACTAAACATTAAAATAAACAAACATAAAAATAAAATAAATCAAGTATAAATAAATAAGTAAATAAATAAATGCATATTAAGTGGACATCAGAGAAAAAAAAAAAATCATACCAAAATAAATAAATAAAAAAACAACAAAAAATTAAAAACTTAACAATAGTGGACCTTAGGTAAAAAAAATTAAAAAATTAAGTAAATTAAAATATTAGTTTATTTTTTACTTTATTGACCCATTGCAACCCACTTGATGAGCCAAGAAGCCAGGAAATGACATCAAATGCTTTAAACTATAGGAAAGCTTAATAATTGGGCAACTTAGTCAGTTTAATTTCAAGCTGAACTGATTTCGGACAGCTGTCTTCTTGCGCCTGAGGTCACTGCGCTTCGTTCTACGTGAGTTTTAGGATTATTTCAGTCGCTCTCATCTGCTGCACAAAACATGTGGTAGTGTTTACAGACATTTTTCATGAACGCACCCCTTTATTTTTTCATTTAATAGCTTCCATATCACACATTCTATCACACTGGATAAAAATCGTGGAAAGTATGATGTTTCCGGCCAGGAAGCTCTGTTCTCTGTACAGTCCGATAGAAGTGTCAGCTCACTTACTCAGGGCTGTTTGAAACTGATGCTTTTGAGCGATTCGATCATTGGCTCTAATGAGTGCCCTCTTGTGGAGCCGCAGGAAATCGGCCCCTGAGGACTTTACACTTAGCACCTTAGATGAAAAGCACAGCTCGTGAGTGTCTCGCATCAAACGGGCTGTGTTTTAAGAGTCTTGGCACTTGGGGGCCGTGCCCTTGAGTACAGTTTGAGCTTTGCACCGTGCAGGTGTGCGGTCTGTTCCCCTGGCGTGTGTTGAGGAAGGAATGACTCACTGCACATACACTGAAGTGACTCATCCTGCATTGTCTTCCCCTGCATCACTCCCTCTGCCCTTTTTTTGAGGGAGTGTTTTAATTTTGACGACTGAGATAAAGTGTAGCCTTCGTCTGACCCTTTACTTTTCTCCTGGTTTTCCATCTCTTGTTGTTGATCTGATCTTTGTTTTTGTTGTATCAATCTGTACACCTGTCAGCATTGTATTTGTCTGCTTTCACCGCCTCCATCAATATGGTAAAGCGGGACGTATTAAGCCTGGGCAGATGATGGGATATACAGCGCTGCGATAGATATGTATCAGCTGACAGTGATTCCACTATACATGGTATCTTAATAAAACAGACATTCCAGACCGTGCTGCAGACAAACACTTCTATTGAACATTGTTTCTTTGATGCCAAGAGTTCATTTGGGTGTATCCATCCAAGACACAGTGTCACTATGAACTCTGTGCATTAATGTAGTATTCAGCTGATGTTTGGTCAACTTCCTATATATCAAGTATTTTACAGCGGCTGCAAATATTATAACACTATACTGGCAAAAATAAATAATACAAAAATAAATTAAACAAAAATAGATAAAAACTTAAGAACATTACTGGACATCAGGGAAAAATTGAAGTAAATATAAATAAATAAATACGTGAATTAGTTGAATTTTAAGACATCAGAGGAAAAACTATATATATAACAATTACAAAAAAAAAAACAAATTTAGAGGTCCTCAGAAAATTAGAACATTTTTGTAGCTTAGGGAAAAAAATAAAGTAAAATTAAAATACCTAAAATAAAGTTTACATTTATAGTTATTTAATTGACTTTTTATTGAATTTTGACCTTATGGACCAATTGAAACCCACTTGCTGAGCTAAGAAACCACATTTATTATCAGATTTATTCATGTTTTTGAAAGATGATAGTTTTGTTTACCTAGGCTGCATTTATTTGATAAAAAAAATAGTCAAAAAACATAAAAAATTTAAATAACTCTCTTCTATTGTAATATATTTCATAATGTCGTTCATTTATGTGATGCAAAACTGAATTTCCAGTAGCCATTATTCCAGTCTGATTTTCTGCTCAAGAATAAATAAAAAAATACACTTTTATAAATGCATTTATACCAATATAATTGCAATATGAAACATTTTGTGGTAGAATTATCTCAGCAAAAAAAAAAAAAAAAAAAAATATATATATATATATATAACCTATTTATAAATATAATTAAATTAATACTAAAATAAAATTACATAAAAATTTATATTTTTTCTGCCAACTTCATTTCTTGTGACTTTTCACATATTTTTGTAAATCTCACAATTAATAAAATTCTTAATTCACTGCACAAAACACTTTGTAGTTAGCACAAACCGTGTTTATCCTGCATGTGAACTTGCAAAGCTTGTTTATTGTTTTCAAGGACCAGGTCGACATGTCAAAATTAGCTGTAATATTTCATCTGGTGGCGTGAATTGGAGGTGGAACGGATGGAGATGGCAGATGGAGGGAATGTTCAGGAAGCCTGTTTGAAACAATCAGTATTTTTGCAGTTGCATTTGGTTTTCTAATGGTGCAAAAATGACACATTCACTCTGTTTTTGGTTCTCAGGCTGAAGCTCTGACTCCAGCGCTGCAGGCGGAGATGGATGTGAAGGAGGCCATTCAGCTCCAGCAAGCCGAGAACGGAGAAGTGGTTCAGATCCAGATGCCAGGCACTTGAGCCACTCACGCGCAAACTTCTCACGTGTGCGTAAACAAAGATATTCGGATAGAGCGTCAAGGAGAGGGCGAAACCGCAACCCACCCCAAAATTCTCAACCAAAACCAGCACCGTCAGTCAACAGTTATTGACTAAATCCAAGTAAAACAAATGCAATTTGATGTAACATGTCAGCTCGTATGGAAACTATTGGCCCACAAATAACGTCTCGTCTGCTTAGTAACGTATAAGCAGTGCTGGCTTCATCGCTGGTTCCTCCAACCTCTCCGACACGGATCAAAACAGAAGGCTTTTTTCTCTCCGATCTATCTGAAGTACCTCACATGCAAAGAGCAAGCATGTTGAACTAAAGATTCAAGCAGACAGTCGCGTTACTGGGCTTAAATTGGTCACAAGTGTTATTTTTAGTACATGCCGTCAGTCAACAGTTATTGACTAAATCCAAGTAAAACAAATGCAATTTGATGTAACATGTCAGCTCGTATGGAAACTATTGGCCCACAAATAACGTCTCGTCTGCTTAGTAACGTATAAGCAGTGCTGGCTTCATCGCTGGTTCCTCCAACCTCTCCGACACGGATCAAAACAGAAGGCTTTTTTCTCGCCGATCTATCTGAAGTACCTCACATGCAAAGAGCAAGCATGTTGAACTAAAGATTCAAGCAGACAGTCGCGTTACTGGGCTTAAATCGGTCACAAGTGTTATTTTTAGTACATGAGCGTCACACTTTATAGGCTTTGCCTATCTGATATTACAAAAAAGCAGCAGTGTAAAATATGCTTCAATTCATAATCCAAGATTTTTCCGTTTTGCTATCCTTTTGTGATTTTTGTGTGTGCGTGTGTGTTTGTATCGGTGGAGATCTGGGGGTTTATTTCAGGGCCGCCCCGTCTTCATTTATCAGTAATTAATTTGTTTTCATAACGGTTAGTCTAAATATTTTTTGTTTCATATAACATTATTGTACGGAGAAAAAAAACTACTGAAAGTTTGTTGGAGATTTTGTAGGGCAGTTTACTAATACACAGGAAAATATGACAATGAACTGTGTTAATGTAGTATATGAAATATGTACTTTTTCATATATATAAATAAATATATATATACATATATTTGTGTATAAAGGATTTGTTCAAACTGAATAAATGACCTTTGTTTTGAAATACAGCGTCTTGAGTAACAAATGACAATCTGCCAGACAACATTAGTCAAATTTCAGCAACAAAGTCATTGTCAATAGTGTACTGATGGTTTGTAGCACAGCTCACACAGACGGCACTTTCAAACCAAGCAGCTTTCTGTTGGACATCGTAACAAATTTGCATGACCAACTTGAACAGGAGTGAAATCTGTGTGGGAAAATCTTTTCACCCTCACGCGAAACTCTCAATCACACAATTTCTTTTGAAATTGCTTGATTTTCTGTGAAATATGGCAAAGATGTGATTTATGTTTCACACCTTAATACGAACCAGTTTTTTGGCAGGTCATTGCGTTTTATTTTCTTGAATGTTTGATGACACAAATTGTGGGTGTGAGATGAGATTATGGGTATTTGGAATGCCATTCCTTATTACTCGTACTAATTTTTCAGCGTGCAGTAAACTGGGACGGTATGCAAATTTACCGGAGGGGAAAAAAAAAATCTGAATGACCTACAACACAAGTACACTACAAATGTCCCACAATGCAATGTGTCTGAATTGCTTATCTATTTTCAGTGGCATAAATGAAATTGGAAGCAGTCACAGTTGTTGTTTTTTATACATCATCTTGACTCATTTGATTTCAAAATAAGTTGAATTAGATTAAAAAAATATTTTTTGTTGAAATTTAAAATCCTTCAAAATTCTGATTGGTGGTCAATAAATAAGGGGGTTTCAATAGCTGATTCTTAAATTATTACCTCAAATGATAAATATGTGATAATAGTAGTTATTATCACGAACTTTAACCTTTAAGCTGTCAAGTTATTTATTATTACGAACTCTAACCTTTAAGCTGTCAAATTTTCAACCTTGTCACAGGAGCTTTGAAATGAATAGACATGGGCCTATAACTTGCAAATAGATAACTGAGTAAATTCTCACTCAGTTTCAGGGTTCCTTGAAATTATAATTTAAAACAAAATGCTATTGTTCTTTCAAAACATGTTTTGCATCAACCCTGTTATATTAAAATGATTGTGTGTGTGTGGGAGGGGGGGAGGTTGAAGATCTGTGCAAAATATTCAATTAAGTCAATATTCTTGTGCTTTGTGCAATAAGAACAATATTTTTCCAGCAAAAAGTTGATCACTATAATTTGTTTTCCACCGCAGAATTGAACTTTTGAGCTTGACAGGTCCAATATAAGTGTAACCAAAATGAAATACAGATGTAAAAAAAAAAGATGCCAATCTCTCGAATATAATGTCAAGAACATTTTTTCAAGAGCTGTTTTCAACGGCTGATTCTTAAATTATTAACCCAAATTAGAAATATGTTTAATAGCTTTACAGAGAACCAGTAGGTATTTATTGTTACAAACTCTAACTTTAAAGCTGTCAACCCTGTTACATTCAAAATATTGTGGGGTTGAAGATCTTTGCAAAATGTTTAATAAAGCCATTATTCTTGTGCCATGTGAAATAAGAACAATATTTTTCCAGCAACAATTTTTCCACAACAGAGTTGAATTTTTGAGCTCGACAGGCCCAAAATAAGCCTAACCAAAATGAACCACAGATGTACGAGAATGCAGACGTAAAAGAAACCTACCCCTTTTTAAACCTACCCCATGAGGTCAAAAATTATGCCAATCTCTCAAATACAGTGTCAAGAACATTTCAAAACTCAAATATCACCGTAAAACAGGGTTGAACAGTGTTTGAAAAAAGAAAAATAATTAAAAAAATTCAGAGTAGTGGTCAACAGATAAGTGTTTTTGTTAGCTGATTCTTAAATTATTGCCCCAAATAATAAATATGTGATAATAGCTTTAAAAAGCAAAAGCCAAGAACATTTTTAAACTAAAATATCACAGCATAACAGGGTTGAACATTGTTTTAGAATAAAATAATGGGAAAAAAGAAACACTTAATTTCAGTAAAAGCGAAGTTAAGTTTTTACATTTTTATATTTTGTGTGTGTGTGTAAAAGTGATTAATGTGACTGCACAAATTGGTTGATAATTAAGGGGGGAAAACCCTAACATTTAACATAAACTAACAACAAAAAAATTATTTTAACACTTATGCTTTACAAACCAAACAAAAATGATTAGATTCTCTATCCTAGTAAGTTATGAGGATACTTGGCACGCAAGTTTAGTTTCCTGACAACGGCCCATACTACAGTACTCAAAGCAGATCCGTTCCAAACAAAGCCATTATTGCCACACACATTTATTGCAAGTTAAGTGTTGGTGTTGATTTAGTGTTCAGCCACTGAACAGTCATCACATGCATTGTGGTTTAATGATTGCAATCTAATGAGTGGGTGTGATTAGAAGCAAGCAGCAATGCATTCGGTTGCTATGTTTGTTTTATATTGATGTGATTTGCTTCAGTTGACCAGAACACCATAGGGAGAGTCATGAGACCCATGTTTTGATTTGTGAGATCACCACATATTCTCTCTAGAGTCCCCCAAAACTCCTACTCTGACTCCCTCGTCTCTAATGGGATCAAGTCAGCCTCTCCCCCGTTCTGAAATCATGGATGGAATATCCCGGATTGTAGCAGTCTGGACTTTTAAGGCCTCCGGCCAGACACCGCTGGGCCCTTTGTTATGGCAATGGTACATAGTTGCTAACTCATCCTCTCCCACTGCTATGGGTTTTCGTCAAATTATTTGTATCTTTAGAGCAGGGGTGAGGACATTACAAAAAAAGTGTTTTGTTGAGTTTTCCCACGCGTGCTGTAACATAATGGTGTATTTTGGATCGCGTGCATAAAGTGTCCCGTATAGTCGCTGATAACAACATCTCTCTATTTCCTTTTGTTTTCTTTTAGTCTCAAAGTCCCCTGTTACCCGTCTTCTGTACACCATCCATCCGTCTCTCTTAAGGAATCTATCACTTTCTTCATCTTTTTCCTCTGATTTCTGGTTCTCTCACTTGTTCTCATCCTCCCACTCTTTTCTCGGGTGGAGTCTGGTGGGTTTTTTTTTTGCTTTCCTCCTCCTTCGCAAACAGTCTGTATTCGTTTTGTCAGAATTTGGGCTGTGGTATCCCTGTAGCCCCCCTAAAATCCAACTCTGACTCCCTTTTCTTTAATAGAACTTAGTCAGCCCCTCCCCCTTTAGAAGATAGATGAAATGGCCCAGAATATAACATATCCCCATTATATTTGTCTTATACTGAATAATAATAATTGAGTATTTCTGTGTAATACTCTTTAATACTATTATTAAACTAATAATTAATACTATTTAATTATTAATCATTAAATATTATGATTATTTCATAATAACCCCCCCCCAGTGTCCTCAGTATCACTTTCCACCCTGTTATTCCAATTATTCTTTGTAATAAAAGCCAGGTCCTTAGTGACATCATCCTCCAGACCAGGATGTGACATCATTTTTAATGGGAAAACAACGTCACTAACATAGGGAAGTATTAGTAATTGATTTATGTTATATGTATTATGAAATTACTCTTTGTCTCACTCCTAAACCTTCCATTCTGTTTTATAAAATTGCAGTAATTGGTGTGATAATGACAACATTTCAAAAGATAGCAAAAAAATAAAATAAAAATGATACTCAACTTTCATTGAGCAATGGCTAGCTTTGTATTCTATTTCTGTCATGATAATAATCTTGTTAATTTCTTTATTTCCATCCTGTTACATTCCATCTTGTTAGGAATCCTGTTCATTTCTTCATTCCTTTCATGTTCATAATTTTGCTCATTTTGTTGTTTTCCATCTTGTTACATTACTTTATGAACATTTGATTTGCAAACATTACATTTTATTTCCATTCTGTTACATTCCATCTTGATAGGAATCCTGTTCATTTTTTATTTCCATCCTGGTACAATTACTTTCTTTCTTTCTTTCTACCTTACGTTAGGTTCTTTTTGTTTCCTTTTTATTGCCATCCTGTCATATTCATCCCGATATGAATCCTGTACATTTTTCCATCCTGTTAGGAATCCTGCTGATTTTTTCATCCTCTTTTTTTTTTTTACTTTATTTATTTATAATTTTTTTTCTATTCTACTAAATGATCAATACACTCAAATTGAGTTTAACAAAATTTTAACAAAATATGAATAGAAAATAAAAAAATAATAATTTTATGATTTGACTATATTCTACTCTCATTCAAATTTAATGAGCAGTGCATGGGACATAGCAAAATAACGAGCATCCTCTTATACAAAACT